CTATATGAAATAACACAATTATTAGAAAGCACAAGTTCATCTACTTGATCTTGTATCAAAAGGTATAGATCTTTCATGAAATTATCAAAATTTGTTTGATAAATAGTTTCCCATTTTGCTGCACTGTTTTTACCCTCTCTTCTAATTACTAATTTAAATGAGATTTCCATATGTTCATCTTCAGATTCTTCAATTTCAGAATTATTTACTTCATCTTCAACATCCAATTCTATATCATCTTCTATTTCAATACCCAAAATTTTATCTTCCTCTTCATTATTCTTCAGATTTTTCTCAAATTCTAATTTATTAATTTCTTCTACTTCATCTACTTCATCATCATCATTATTCTCATCATCATCATCACTCTCATTATTATCACTATTATTTATTTCTCTAGAATTTTTAGCTGAAGAATTAGATCTAGTTATTCTTGATACTTGATTTGATTTGGTATTAGATTTGTAAGTTTTTGGTAGATTTGCTGGAATAGTTTTTGTTGTTAGAGATTTTTTCAACCTTATCATCAAATTATGATATGTAGAATATAAACTATATTTAAATTTTTGAGAAAAATCCATTTCATATTAATAAATTCTATTAGCTTCATTTAATTCAGTCAGTTGTAACTCATTATAAATCTTATGTTTTGTATTTAAATCATACACTCTAGAGTAGCTTTTTCTTTTTTTTGTATTTCTTATTTTTTTACTCAAATCACATTGACAGTGATTAAAAGATAATAATTCATTACAATTCAAACATATTTGACACAAAAAACAAGTGCCAATTTGGTACATTCTTGAGTAAGGTACTTTTTTCTTAGGCATTATGATAAATATAATGAACGCGATAAACGCGACACAAAAATTCTTTGAAATTAGATCTTAGTTGTATTACAAGATCTTATGTTATATTATGCTGTGATCAGCTAATTATTTTATCACGTGATTTCTGTGTTTTGTGTTTTTGTGTTTTGTTTTGTGTTTTTGTTAATCATTATGCATAATAGCCAATTTCAATAATTTCGAAAACCCCAATAATTAAATTTGACCATTAGAAATTTCATTTCGTTGATCTTTAATCTTTTTCAATTTTTTTTTTTAAAAAAAAATTCGTATATTTTGAGATCTTTATTTTATTTCTTTTATAATGGTATATTTATATAATAAACAGTATTTTTTAATAATTATTTCTTTTTAAATAATATTTTTGTTGAGTAAAGTGACAATTTAGTAGTGATTATTACTAAATTTACTAACCTTTTTGCTTAATTAGTCATACAGTCAATATGGATTAATTAATAAAATTTTCAAATTTGAGATACAAGCAATTAATCTGTGTTTTAATATAATATATATATATTTTAATAATTGCAATATGCTTATAGTATTATTGAAATCATTAGAATAAAATTGTGAAAGAAATCTCCCATGACACTTTTGAAACAAAATAGTTTTTTTCAAGAATTTTTAATTTTGCAAATCTAAATAAAAAATGATTTTTTTTTATGATCATTTCAAATTTTTTTATTTTTTTTATTTATTATGAAAAATTACTATTACTCATAATTTTAAAAAAAAAATTTCAAAGTTAAAACCAAAGAAACATCAAAAGTAAAATTAAAATCACATTTGTCTCTCAAAGCTATGCTTCTTTAGGAGAAAACCAAACACTCTAGCTTTGAGCCAATGTGAAAAAGTAGACCTATCATTATTTGAAGAATGTAAAGAAAAGCTAACAAATATACTTAACTGGATATTCATTTGTTTATCAAAGAAAAAGGCTTACTTTTTTGATTAGCTAAATTCTTAAGATTATAAAATTATTTATTAACAAATTAATTTGCTAAAGTCTATAATATAATTAGTATTATTTTTTAAATTACATATAGAAATATCAATAATAAATTTTTTTGAATCATCAGTATTAAAAAAATTTTTTTAATTATAATAAAATTAATACATAAAAAAAAATAATATTTTATTATATTATTGATATATATTTATTTCAGAAAGTGATTTTTTCTGAATTTCAAATTTTTTTTTTATATAATCCTAATTGTAAATTTCTATTATAATTATAAACTTATAAATAAACAATTTTAATGTATTTATTATATTAAAATAAATTTTATTATAAATAAGCAAAAAATAAATTATTTAAATATAAATCATCTTATCTTTACTTATAAAAAAAAATTATTAAAAATTAAAAATTTAATTTTTCTTTTACAAAATAATATATTTTTTTTAAAAAGTAATTTTAAAATGCTTACACAAACTTTTAACATTTTTAAATATAAAGAAAAATATCAGTAAATTTTTTATAGGAATAATTATTAGTAACAATTTTTGATAAAAGATAGTTACCCATCTTGTAATCTTAGATGTTGAAACCAAACTAATTTTAGATTTGTTCTTTTAATTATATAATTGTCCAATCAGTTAATATTATTTTTGAGAGCTTTTTACATATTGAATATTCATATATGCATCTCAAATAAATAAAATTTAAGGATAACATATTGATATTTTAGTTTAAGACTTTATAAATGTAAGTTTAAATATTATTATTAAAATAAGTAAATGATGAAAAAGGTTGAGAAAATCCTTTTTTGCAAGTATGTCTTAAAGTAGTGAAAACTCTACATTTTGAATTACAAGTATGTATTTAATTTGCTTTTACTTTTGCATATAATTCAGGTTCTATAATTTGATCCAGTAAGTCATATCTTATGATATTTTCAGCAATCATTTATTCAATTGACTTTGTTATCTAATATATATTATAGGTATGTATATTATCACAATTTTAAAATTCTATTCTTTCAAAATATTGAGTTACATTGCTCCAATTTGAATAATATGGATTTTTTAAACATGCTTTTTGAGTTGCTAAAAATGATGTATAAAATATAATGTAGTATATACTGGTCTATTTATTAGATTTGTATAATAGTTATCTGTTAATTTTAAAATTTTATGTAAGTGTTTCCAATGACTTTCGGTTATTATCAGTATAAGAAAAGTTAAAGGTAGTTTATATGAAGTAGTTTTTTATGAAAATAAGATTCATCAGTTCGAATAAAAGTTGGTAAAGTAGTTATAAATAATTCATCTATTATTAGTTTATTAGAATAATTAAAGATATGAATAAGCTATAAAGCTGTTGGTAGATAGTATATTTTATTAGCTTGTTGTTATCTCCATATATGTTGATTATTTTGGTAGTCGTATAATTTTTCTAATTGTAAATATGATTATACTAACCATTTATAATAGAGCTTAAAATTTAAATCAATATTAAGTGTTCATTATTTAATATATTTAGAATAGATTTCTTCGTAAGTGAAAGTTGATCCAGAAAGCTTATCATAGTAATATCCTTTTTCATCTGAAAATAAAACAGAAAATAATAAAGCTTTTAAATTTGAATCATTTAAAGATATTAATAGCAAAATATTGTTTGGAGTTCTGCTAAATTCTGCTATTAGATATGAATAAAGATAATATTTATTATGAATTTCAGTGTTAAAATTAATATTTAGAATTATAATATTATTAGATAAAAAGGTGTACAAAATCATCGCCAGTTAGATAATTAACAATTTGAAAATTAGGTGAATTTAAAAAGCAAGAATAATTTTTTAAAAATGGATTATTTTGTTTTAACCAATTTGTGGCTTGAATTAAAGTTTTATTAAGCCAAATATTAGAATTAAAATTTAGCTAAATTATCTTCAAGATAAATACTAATATTAAAGAACATATATTTTTTGAAAAATCTATCATTTCAATTAGAGTCTTATATTCAGTATATATTATACTATATCTTGAATTTCTTCCTAAAGAACAATACATGAATATAAGAGATAAAAATTCGATTATTCAAAGATACATTTAAATTTCATTTAGAATATAATAAAGAAAAGGAAAGGTATATTTATTTGTAGGTTTTTTACAAAATAAATATATTGTAATACGTTTTGAAAGATTGACATGAAATATTAATAATGATTCAGGATTTGGTTCAGGATAAGCTGTCAAAAGTGAATATAAAATATTTGGATCATAAGACAATTAACCATCCACATTTTTTAGGATAGGATACATAATGCAATCATAATATGCGTATAACGTGTAAATAAAGTGGTTTAAATAGTTGAATTAAAATTATTTAGTAATTTCAAAATTTTTTGAACATGGTATTTATGGTAAAATACAAAGAATTTAATGCAAAAAAAGGTTGAAATAAAAGTGAGAGTAGTTAAAAGTAACATAATTTAACGAAATTGTAATTTATTTTACAAATTATTTAACATAACATCTGAATTTATTTGATAATTCAATAATGGTTCTGGTAAAAGGTCTATATCAAAAATGTAATATTGAAATGTATTATAAAATATTTTTTAATTTTTTTTATTAAAAAATAAATGATAAAAAATTCAAAAAATCAATTAATCTATTTATTTAATTTTAAAATATAATATAGAAATTTTTTTTTTTTGTTTTAGTATTATAAATATTACGGTTGATTTGAAATGAAGATTATCTATTTATTTATTATTATTTTTATTATTTCATAAAAACAAATAAAAAAAAAATAATAATCAAATGAGTTAGATTTAATCAGTTATGATTTTAAATTTAAAATCAATAATTGAAGTTCGATAATAGTTATTTAAATAAAGAAGAAATTTTTTTTGAATATAAATTATTTATTAAAAAAATAAAGCAAAAAAAAGGTAGTTAAATCAGGTGGAATCAGGATCAAACTAGGAGTGATTAAATACCTAATATTATTCTCATATAACTAATTAAATTAGTATCAAAGAGTAAGAAATAACCTAGTAATTTGATAATTTTGATAATTGCTGAAGCTAAAATTGAAAAATTTTAAGTAATTTTATTAGATTTGATCAAATAATAATATATTTTTTAATCTTTAGGAGGAAAATATAAAAGCAAAAGTAGTTAAATCAGGTTTAAATCAGGTATAAAGTGAGGATGATTAAATCACTGATAACATGCTCATAAAATTAATTAATAATAAATTTAATAAATATTCATTATTTTCAAATCGAAAGAAATAATTTATATAATTTATAATAAATTAATAATTATTATCAAAATTTTATTGATTTAAAAGATTGAATAATATAAAATAATGATTAAATAACAATAAATATTCATAAAATTCAAATTACACAAAAGAGTTTATCTGATTCAAAATAAAACTTACTAATTGCTTAATTAATTAAAATGATTAAGCTTGTATGTAATTATGATTTAATGAGTATTTATGAAATACAAGTCAAATAAAAGGGTTTACTGATTCAAAATACTGAATTACTAATTATTTGATCAAATGGAATAATATTGCTTGTACATAATTATGATTTAATGAATATTTACTAATAAGATAATTTATTTGACTTGGAATAATTATTTATAATATTCTAATTAAATGAAATGATATATATATTATATAATTATAATTAAATAAATTTTTGCAAATATTCATTAACATCTAATTTAATAATTTATGAATCATTAATAATTTTTCAATCGCATTCAGTTGCAGTATTTTATAGAATTTTATTATAAAAAATTTTCAGTCGTATTCAGTCGCAATTTATTAATAGTCCACAAATTATGAAATTAGCTATAATAAATTTTTTTAGATTAATAATATATTGAATTAATTTTTACTTTTTATAAATAACATGCTTTTTCACTTTTCTCTTTTTTTCATACTTTTTTTCATTTTTTTAATTATCTTAATTGTATTAAAAATTAAAATAAACTTTTTTATAAAATAAAAATATAAATTTCAATTATTTCCTTTTATTTATTCTTTTATTATTTCTTTTTTAAATTTTTTTAAATCAAAAATTCATTTTTTCAAAAAATAAAATTACATCCAATCAAAAATAATTTTCTTATTGTATTTATATGAGCAATATGAGCAATACAAAATTTTTTTTTGCTTATTAATATTTTAAACAAATTTTAAAAATATCATGTATGTTGCTGAATGAACTGATGAAGAAATTGAATTTTTGATTGAAAAAAAAGGATAGGAAATAATAAATTTCATTACAAGCATGAAAAAATAAAAGAAAGTTTTGGCAAAATATTGTTAACGAAATCAATAAAGAAAAAAATCATTTTTTACCAGTGATTAATACAGACAAAAATTCAATAGTCTCGTAAAAGATTATAATGTAGGTTTATTTTATCAAAATATATAAATTTGATATATATACTTTTATAATATGAATGTAATAATATAAAAAAATTTTTAATTAATTACTAACAATTATATTCATTAATTGTTCTCTCTTTCTTTTATTTTCTCTTTTTAATACTATTTCATTTAGATTTGATATAACTCTTTTATCATCATCATTCTCATTACTATCATAATCACTTCCATTATTATCATCATTATTGTCTGCTAAATCTTCTAAACTATCATTATTTAATTCTAAAAAATTATGCAAAATAATTGCATATTCAGTTATTTTAACAGCCATAGAAACCTTTCTATCACTTAAATCTTTTAAAGCAATAAATCTATTTTTAAGTTTACTAAAAGCATTTTCAACAACTACTCTATGTAAAGGATGAATTAAATTAAATTGTATTTGTGAAGGAACTTGAGAATTTGTAAAAGATTTAATTAAAAAAGTTGATATTGGATAAG